TTCAAGTTGGGTCAGATCAGTCTTTGGCTTGCATTTAGAGGCAAATTAATTTTGTTATCATAAATGCATGTCTTTCAACATTAACGAGGCTGGAAACTCATGCCTGGGGGGAGTAGAGTCAAGAGTGCGCAGAGCTCATTCTAACGTGCAGGCAAGGACGCTGTCCACAGCCCAGGGACACAGACCCCCCCGCCCCACCCGGCTGGGCTGTCCACTTGTTCATGGCCATCCCCACATTCATGATTTGTTCTGTTTTACCTACTTGGAATGCCTTTCACAAATCCTTCAGCCTGGGCTTTCCCCCCAAACCTGGCCCTCAGACCAGGATTTGGGCCCCAGCCACTCATTCGGGGGAGGGTACCAGGAAGCATTGCAAGGGGGTTGGGAGGTGACAGGCAGGCTAATGCAGGGGCTGCCACCCTGCTGGCCTCTCCTCCCCCCACCAAGTCCCCCCCCCTCTGCTGGCAAGGGTCCCTCAGGACACCCATTCCTGCAGCATCTGCCCGCCCCACCTAGGCGTGTGGGAGAGACACCTGGCTCATCTCCAGGCCTCTTCCTAGGGCTGAGCCCCTGGCCCTGGCGCAGATGGAGGGCAATACTTTTGTACCAGGCTGAGTCATAAATGGCTCTGGGCCCTGCCAGTGTCCTCTGGGAAGTGGTGACTCAGCTCTGAGGCGGCCAGCAGCAGGAGCTGGGGCTCAATGGAGGGAGGCCGGAGGGACGTGCTGCCTGGCAGGAAGCTGGGAACGTGTGTGGGAGATCCGAGCCTGAGAGCCCCATGCCGGCCGCAGTGGAGCACAGCCTGTGTGAAACGCCTGCAGCCCGGTGCCCCATCGAGCTGTGTGGAACACCCTGGCGGGACTTGGCTCAGCCTAGGGCAAGGGCCTGTGTGGTGTCTGTAGCAATAAGGGCAAGTCTCTCACTCTCGGTGGGCGCCTGGCCCTCCGGGACTCAGCCCAGTGCCTGCTGTGGGCTCCCTGTCCCTGCCCCTGAGTACGGCTGCCACGGGACCCACCTGTGGCTTCTGGCCTGCGCCTCAGGAGCCTTTGCGGCTTCTGCTTCTGGCCCGGCTGGAGCCACAACCACCTGGTGGGTGAGCCGGGGGCGGGGTGGGGGGTGGGGCCTCCCTGAGGGTGACAGTCAGTGCCCACCACCGAGCATGGGCATGATGCTGCCTGACACCAGGTCAGTAAGCGTTTCTGTGAAGAGCAAGTAGTAAATAGTTCAGGCTTTGCAGACATGCAGTTTCCGCCCAAGCACTGGATGGACTCCACTGTCACGGTGAAAGCAGCCGCGGGCAATACAAGCAGACGTGCCTAGGGAGCCCCGTGTCTGAGGGCAAGAAGCGCACACAGGGCACAGCCTGTGCAGTCGGCTGGGCCTCAGGACGCTCTCAGGGCACGCGCACAGCTCTTCCGCCCGTGCCCCGGAGCACCGCTGGCACAGGTGACTCTTGCACTCCCACCCTGAGCCCAGATGCCACCAGAAGGGGCTGGCGGGGCTGCGGCACTGCACTGCCTGCCGGGGGTGGGAGGGGGCCCACACTAGCCGGTGGCTGGGGAGCTCCGCCCTGCTCAGAGGAAGGGCTGGGTCACAGCCCTGCATAAAGTGCAGATCCCAGGGATGCAGCCCACAGGGAACTGGTTGGACCAGCTGCTGCCCTGCTGGGGAGCCAGCTGATAAGCCAGGGGCTGGGGGTTGGCCACCTTCCTGGCTTACTGTTGACCCTAGGAGGAAAGAGGGAGGGCCCCCCGAGGGCCCCCCCACCTGCCCTGGGCCCTTGACAGCTCAGGCTGGGAGCAGAGGAACTGTACTTCCCTGTACATTTTTACCTTGTCCACTGCCCTTGGACCTGGATGACCTTCCCAGAACTTGGTGAAGGTCAGGGGTGAAAATAAGGGTGTGAGCCCTGGGGAAGGAAGGCAGGGGATAGGCGGCTCTCTCCCTCTCCCCAGGAACTTGTGAACGCCTTGTGCCAGAAGAGGGGTAAGAAACACTGTAGCCAAGTACATGACCTGCAGGCTGTGCTGGCCCAGCTCAAGGCCGAGGCCCTCCCCTGACCTCTGATTGGGTGGATGGCAGAGAAGCAAGACCTCTGGAAGGGATCGCCACAGTGTTACAGGGTGGAGGGCACATGTGGTCTTGTGGCCAGGACCTGGAGTCTGATGTACCCTCTCACTCCGACAGTGAACAGCCTGCTCCCCGCTCACTCAGTCGCCTGCACCGTTCCAGGATCCCACATGGAGGCATGACATTGTCAACCCGTGGGCAAGGGCTTCCCCAGCCGGCCTGTCCACCACTGTTACTCTTACAGTCTCCTCTGGTTTGCCGAGTGGCTTACGCTGGAACCCTCCCAGAGAGCCCCTTCAGGAAGGCTCCCTCACAGATGTTTTCTTGCCAATAGATTATCTAATTCACTCATTAATTTCTGATATGACTCTTTGCTTCCAAGTGCACTCCTCACCCAGCATTCCTTGGGTGAGTCACGGCACCAGGGACCCTGTGCCCCGGCTGGTAGTCTCTTCCTGGATTCCTGCTCTCACACATCCGAGCAGGCTGTGCGTCCTCCCAGCTTCGTGTCCCCGCCCCCCCCACCGTCTCTCTGGTGCGGCCATCACCCCTCTCTGGATTTCAATACCACCTTCCTCGCTGGGCTGGTGGATCTGCAGTGGGGACTCCACTGAAGCGAAGTCGGCATTCTGCTTCACTCTGTGTCCCCACATTTCTCAGCGGGTGACCTTAAGACCTTCCTTTCACTTGGAGAGACACATGGAGAGAAGAGTCAGCTCCTTTTGAGGACATGGTGCAGGAGCGTCCTCACCGTGGGGAGAGTGTCATCTGGTCCTTGTGGTATGGCGCTGAAAGTTTCTCTTTGGTTCTCCCCACTGGGCTGAGAGGCTGCTGACCCCAAGTCACGACCTAGGACAAAGAAAACCCCAGGGCGGGCGGGGGTCCTTGGGCTCTGAGGCCGCAGCCCCACAGGTCTGCTCCTGAGGATGTCCCCCAGGCTGTTATCTCAGCATCACATCGTGGTGGACACTGAGCTGCACCACTCACACCCCGTCGAGGGACAGGCTTAGTGACGGGCTTTCTGGGGATTTCCCAGCTAAAGAGAACTGGCTCACTTCTGGCTCCTTCCCATGACAGACTGACACCAGGAATAAGGCCGGGTCTCCCTGGCAAGGGACACCTTTGCAAGCCACCAGCTGAAGCCAGTGTCAGGCCCGTACAGCAGCCCCACTTGTTCTGCCACCAGTGTTTGTATGACGGGCTGCATGGCTGTGCTTCCCTGAAATTCATGCGCTGAAGTCCTACCCCCAGTGTGATGGTGTTTGGATGTGGGGCTTTTGGGAGGAGATGCGTCATGAATGCAGAGCCCTCCTGAATGGGACTCATGCCCTTTTCAGACAGGATGTCAGGCTGATGACCTGCCATGTGAGGACACAGCGTGAAGACATCACTGGCACCTTGATCTTGAACCCTCAGCTTCTGGACGGTGATAAAAGCTGCCCGATCGATGCTACTTTATTACAGTAGCCTGAGCTACCTAAGAACATTTGCTCCCTTCCTGCCTCCCATGGGTGTTGACCTCCAGGGCAGCACATGTCTGCGCACTGATGTCCACTGCGGAGTCTGCTTCTGGAGAGCGCAGTGGTCAGCCTCAGAGCAGCAAGCCAGCCGTGAAGGGCCCCACCAGGCCCGGACACAGCTATTCCTCTGCTTACGTTAAGGTCCTCAACTCAGGGGCTGGTATGCTGGCTTTCCGTCCACTTTCAGCTGACCAGCCTGTGGCCTGCTTTCTGAATCCCGCACCTTCCACCCTGCAGATTAGGAACAAAATCGCTGAGGCCCAGGAGACGTGGTGTGCAAGGCAGGCTGACGGCTTTTCGAGCCCGCTGCTGGGGTTCTCGCGGGTGCTGATGCTCAGGTGGCCCCAGCTGGGAAAGAAGTGAGCAAAGCTGGTGGAATGAGAGGAAATACTCAGAGTGGGGGTGCTGGGCAGCTGGACAGACAGACCAGCTGAGACACAGCCCCTCCTTGGCTCCGGCAGGCAGCTGCCTCGTGGAGATGGTGGCCCAGCATTGCCTGAACTTCTGATTTTTAAAGACAAGCTGAAGATCCTGACTTTTTTGCAAAGCATTCTGGTCTCTAACTGTAGGTTCTATTTCCCAAAAACAAACAAAACCCACCTGTTGCTTAGTCTTCCAGCTGCACTGCCACACATGGCCCTGCTGGGTGTGAGGTGACAGGGGATGTGCGGTGACCTGGCTGGTCCTGGGATGGCCTTTAGCACCTGCTCTAGAGGCTTGCCCAGGGCCAGCGTCATGCCTCTGTCTCTCACTTCTTCACAATTGCATCCCACAGTCTGTGTCCCCTCCCAATGTCCAGCTTCATCACTGATCCCCAGCTGGCCTCCTGAAAGGAACCTGTGGGCCCTGAAAGGCGATGGTCCATGTGCATCCAGACCCCACACCGGAGGCTGGGGAGAACAGCCGGTGCCCTGGGGGAGGATGGGGAGAGGCCTGTGCTCCAGGGAGCGTGAGGAGGGTCAGGCTCGGGGCAGGCGGAGTGTGGACCAGACCCTGACGTGTCCAGCCTGCTCTGGATTTGGCCTGGCTCAGGCGGGTTTGTCTCCCTGGGACATGTAATGGAGGCGGGACAAACAACACATAAAGGGGCAGCAGGGGCAACCTCTTCTGCACTGATGCCCTCCCCAGCAGGCTGTCCCTCATGACCTAATCACTCCTCAAAGTCCCACCCCCAAACACCATCATACTGGGCATTAAATATGAACATATTAATTTGGTGGTGACACATTCAGCTTATAACACTCTCAGAGCTTCAGCACATTGGATTTTACACAGATTGTGAGTGCGTGCATGTTACACATGCACTGTGTGCAAAGGTGTGTGTGTTTTTAATGTGTGCACACATGCACTGTGTATGTGTATGGGTGTGTGTATGTGTATTTGTGTGTGTGCATGTTCTGTGTGTATTTATGTATGTATGCATGTGTACATGTGTGCACCTGGGCATGTATGCTTGCGTGTATATGTGTATGTGCAGGTATATGTTACAGAAAATGACTATTTAATGCCAAAATCAGAGGCCAAGACTGCCAGGAAACCAGCTTCAGCAGTGCACAGAGAACAGTTCAGCCAGTCACATCAGGTTACACACTTATTTTCATGGAATAAGATTTTGGGGGTGAGAGAGAGCTGCCACGATGTGATTTTTTTCTCAGTGTGATTTCTGAGCAACATTAATCAGGACTTCTGCCCATAGGCTTCCACGGGGAGTAGGGATTCTGGAGCCATGGTCCGTCCTTGAGGGCATGTGCAGCGCTGGGCTGTGGGAGTGCCCCGCTGATGCTCTTGATGCCTCGAGTAGCCGGCATCCCAGGCTCTGACTCTCACAGCACCCAACATGGAAGGGGCATGTCTCCCGAAGCTGGATTCCTGAGATCCCACGGGCATGAGAGCTTCCTGAAGAAGGATGCAGAGTTGTACCTTATATGGTAGTTAGCATCTATGTCAGAGGGCAAAGAATACCATATGTAGTTAGAGTTATCTGTGAAAATCTCTTTAGCCACTCATAAAATACAATATGCCTGGATTTCTCCATATAACTCAGATCAATAAATCCCTTACACACTCAAGTTTGAGAATCACAAAGATGGTTGATGAAAGACATTGCCTGTTTTTTCTCTCCTCCGCCTCCACCTCACCAGAATATACATTTAGCCATCTGGGCTTTCGAACCTTTCCCCTTTATGGCTGTCATCCCCGTGGTGTGGGGCAGGTGTGCTGGGCTGCCCACCCGAGGGCCACACCCAAACACTTTCTCCTTTGCTTGCCTCCCATGGCAGAGTCTAGGAAAATAGTCTCTTTCCCAGCCTCCCTGCAGTGGGGTGGCCGTATAACCTGGCTCTGAGTTGTGGAGTATGAAAGGAACTTCTGGAGGGCTTTTTCTTTCTTGAAGAAAGAGACAAATGCAGATGGGGGTGATGAGAGCTGCTTTTTCCTCTGCTTTTGCCTGGAACACTGATGTGATGCCTGGATCTGTGGCAGCCATCTTGTAGCACTGATGCTCCAACTTTGGGAGCATCATGGACCAGCTCAGATTCATCTGCCCCTGTGATTCTTGTTTTTCAATGTTTTTTAAAATTAGGCTCTGGTATGAGTGAAAGCCCAAATTAATCATGTTAAACAAACAAATAATTTTACTTAAATTTAATTTTTATTAAAATAAAATATTTATTAAAATAAAACACATACCTGGCAACATAGCCCCATACATTTCAGAGACCAGGCTCGACCCTGGCTTTTGTCCTGTGGTCCAACCCAGCTGCTCCAGCTCCAGCCATCACACCCAGCTCAGCCGGCAGGCCAGAGAAAAGGAGAAGAGATGAAGACCTTCTCTTCATGACAACATATCCTGGAAGTCTCAGGCAACACTTTCATTTATAGCAAATCTGCCAGAACTTAGTCAGATGACCACACCTATTGCCTGGGAACTGAGAAATGGAACTTCTACCTGGGCAGCCATGTGCCCGACTAACTTTTAAGAGTTCTGTACTGAGAGGAGGGGGAAAAATGAGATATTGGGGAATGACTAGCAGTATTTACTATAGGAGTAAATAGTGAGCGGTGTAGGCCTAGGTCCCGCTTTCAGTTACTTGCAGCCGAAAGGATTCCTAGCTCATCCTCAATGAACAGAAGGACAGAAATTTTAAGTGTTTCTCAGACTTCCATTTCCAACTAACATGGAGTGACAGGGATCTAATTTAACCTCCTGCATGAAATAATTCCAAACTTTCACAAAATATAAGAAACAATGGTATTCAAGGCAGAGGATATCAAGTTGCGTAAGACCGTGTTCTCTGAAAGATGGGAAATAAAATGTCTCAAGCCCAGCTACTCTTGAGAAAGCTTCCAAGTAGAGGTGTCAGGAGGAGGAACTCAGAGCTGCCCAGAGGAGGGCTGGCAGGGAATCTCCCCCGAGTCCTCGGCAGTGAACTGGTCAGTGCACGTGAGGAGACTATGCCTGGGAGGAGAACCATTAGAAAGGGTTAGGGGGTCAGTGCCAGGGACTCCTGATGGGATCAGTGCCTGTTCCCACCAGGTAACCTGGAAAACATAATGATTTATGGAGCATTAGATGCCATACTGAGAATGGTCTTGCTTCATAGATTAAATGCTGCTCTGCCTTCACTTAACACATTTGAAAGGTGATCCCTGATATGATTCTTTAAGATCAGTAATACTAAGTACATTAGTCAGGGAAGCAGAATATATATATATATATATATATATATATCCATCCTCATGTCTGCAAATTCCATTATATCATCACTTAGATTGGTATTTGATTGAATAACTGTGAGGTGTAGGTATGCTATAAAATGGCTGCTACTGTCTCTTCTGTCCTTGCATGAGGATGTCTCTTAGAGCCTCGCCTAACTGGAAAGACACTAGAAAGGGAATTCTAGGGAGTATAGTTTAGTCTAACCAAGTTGATATTTCAAAAGCCATCACAAACATGTGGGTTTTATCTCAGGAATGCAAGGTAAGTTTAGCATTTGAAAAACATCAATCAGTGCAATTCACTGTATTAATAGATCAAATAAAAAAAACCATACTATTATCTCAAGGGAAACAGAAAACCACTGGATAAAAAAGAAACACAACACAATACCCACTCTGTTAAAAAAAAAACAACTTAGAAAAATAGGAAAAAAAGAGAACTTCCTCAAATTTATACCTATAGCTGACATAGTGGGGAAAGATGGAATGCTTTCTCCCTAGGATCAGCAAAAGACAATATGCCTGCTTTCACCACTTTGATTCCACTTAGTACTGGATGTTCTATCAGTTCATAAGGCAAGAATGAGATACAAAATGCATCTAGACTGGAAAAGAAGCAAAATCATCTTCCTTTGTAGGTGACATGGTTGCCTATGTGGAAAATCCAGTGGAATCTATGAAGAAGCTACTAGAAGTGATAAGTGAGTTTAGCAAGATTGCAGGATGCACAACTAATATGCAAAAGTCAATCTCTCTATCCCAGCCAGAGTCAGAAATTGAAATAAAACATAAACACCATTTATAATATAACAAAAGTTATAAAACTTCAGGATCAATCTAGGAGACTTACAGGCTGAAAGCCACAAACCATTTTTAAAGAAACCAAAGGAGACCTGAATAAACAGAGACATTCTCTGCTCATTGGTTGGCAGACCAAACACTGCTCTGATGTCAATTGTACCCAAACTGATCTATCGATTCAGTGCAATCTAAATCAAATTCCCAGCAGGCTTTTTAATAGAATTTGACTGGTTGGTTCTAACATTCATACGGAAATGCAAAAGAATGGTCAAAACAACTTTGAAAAACAAAATGAAATGGGAGGATTGAAGCTAACTGACCCAAGCATCATCACATGTACTCGTATGTCACCCTTACATCTCCTTTAGTGAAATGCTCTGTCAAATCTTTGTCCATTTTTTTTTTGAGATGTTTGTTTTCTTATTATTGAATTTGTGCAAAGGAGTGAAGCTGAGGGTATCTGTTCAAACCTGCCTCATGACTGGTGGGAGGGTCATCCTGCCTGTGGGTTCCCTGGTAATCAGCCCCCAAAGGGATAGGCCTGCCCCTACTGTGAGACAAGGAGGGGTACAGGGCGGGGTCCTGGCGAGGGCTCAGCCAGAGCTTAGTCTTGGTGGGGTCTAGTTGCCAGAGAAATGGTAATAGGGAGTTTCACCAGCAAGACAAGGACAGAGACCAGAAAAGGGACGGGCCTGGGAGCCAAACGGCCTCATTTTTTTCTGTGCACCAGAGCTCCTTGCTTCTGAAAGTGGGGCCACTCTGCTCTGATGTCTCCCTGGCTGGGGTGGAGGGCCATCTAATTCATTGTGGCCTGGGTCCTTCTGTCCCCAGAGCTCCTGTGTGGGACACACACCAGGATGTCAAGCTCATTGCCGGGTTCCCGTGACTCCCTGTGGGGCAGCTGGCTCCTAAGGCAGGCAGCGGGTCCACACCGGGGAGACTCCCACCTCCTATCTTAGCTCGGTCTGCATAACAAAGGTCCGCATACTGGGGCTATGGAAACAACAGGAATTTGTTGTCTCACGGTTCTGGAGGCTGCAAGTCGGAGATCAAGGTGTCAGCTGGGCTGGTTCCTTCCCGGGTCTCTCTGCTTGACATGTAGACAGCTGTCATCTCCCCGTGTCCTCACATGATCCTCCTTCTGTGTTTGTCTGTGTCCTCACCTCCTGTTCTTATCAGGACACCAGTCAGATTACAGTAAGGCTCACCATAATGACCTCGTTTTACCTTAATTACCTCTTGAAAGTCCTATCTCCAAGTATAGTCACATTCTTTGGTACTTGGAATTAGGGCCTCAACATATGAATTTTGAGGGATGCGATTCAGCCCATTACACACCCTAAACACAGTCCCCATTACTCCTCATAGGTAATGACTGCTGTGGGCTCATCCTGCTTAACCCTCTCAAGAGCCCTTGAGGAAACAAAAGTAGACATTATCACCCAATCTGCGTAACAGGAAACCAGTCTGGATATTTGCTGGTCTGCCCCAGAGCACGCATGGGGCATTGGCTGTCTGCAGATAGCCCCTCCGGCAGACCAGACTCTGGCCTGCTGTCTGCACTCGCTGCCCTCCACCACTCTGCTGATGGCTCTGCAAGGAGGAGCTGGGACTCACTCGGCCAGAAACCACAGTATCAAGGCACATCCCGTCTTCAGGACAGGAATAAAGTAGATTGCAAACCCTTACAAGGATTCAAATGCCTGTGAAACTTCTCGTGTGATAGAAAGTAACATTTTAAAATGGTGGGTTGGGAATAAATTAATTGAAATGTGGTATTAGGTCATCAGAGTTATTTGCAAGAGAATTAAATTGGATACCTTACATTAAAATGAATTCCAGATTGATTATTGAGGTGTAAAGATAAATAAGGCCATTGAAATACTGTACTAGAAAAAAGCTTAGGTGACTTGTTTAATAAATATAAAAAAATACATAAAATAAATAAATAAATATAAAATAGAATAAAACAATAAAAATATAATAAATATAAACATAAAAGCCCAACACTATGATCAGAAACCATAAAGGAAAACATTACTACATTTGACCAATAAAAATTTAGATATTTAGTTTAGGATTAATTACTACAAAGAAAGTGAATAAACAACCAGAAAAACAAATTGTTTGTATCATGAAGTTAATACCCTACATATATGAAGAGTTTTTACAAACCAGTAAGAAAGAAGGCAACACCCTCTGAAAATAACAGGCGGTAACAGCCCCCTTCCTTTCTCTGAGGATGCTAGTCTCCCTAAGGGATTAACCTTGTCTTCTCCTCAGAACAAAGGTGTGAAGTAGGTACTGCTTCTACTCCTCGGAGATAAGGAAGGGGAAGGTTAGAGTGTTTGTTACCAGCCTTCCCACCCTGGGACCCCCTAAGGAGTAGGGTCCACCCCTGGCCTGCTGGGCATTAACTCCAGTGCTGCAAATTCATGGAAAGAGTAGAGCAGACATCTAAACTGCTGGAAATGTACAACTTTGACGTTCAATGTAAGTTATGTACAAGTTTATATACATTTAACACACATTAAAACAGTGGCACGCTTTTTAAAGCCCCATCAGGCTGCCAGGTGGTGATGTGTGCGGTGCTGGCGAAGCTGTGTGAACCAGTAGCTTCAGTTACAGCTGGTGAGTGAGTGACGCAGACACCCTTTCTGGTGGAAGGAGAGAGTGATGGGGAAGGCAGCAGGGACCGATCTGCCCACCGGCACTGGACATGCAAATGTGGACAACGTCTTAGCAAACCAGCTCCAGGATGAATCTTCAGGACCACACACAGGGCGAGGGCTGAGGGCACCGCCTTGAATCCAGAGGCCTGGATCTGGTCCTAGTGTTGCCACTTAATTAGCGTGGGCACCTGGGCTGTGGAAGCTCTGGTTTCTTCATCTTTTAAAGGGAATAATAACAGTATCTGCTGCTCAAAGATTAGCTAAGATATAAAAGCCTAAGCTAATGTTGTTACCTTCTCTTACTGTTTGGTTTTTAAAAACAATTACATCTGTAATCAGAACATGTATATATGTGTGTGTACTACGTATGTATGCATTTTGTGTGTATGTGTATGGCTGTGTGCACACATATCTATGTGTGTGTATGCATGTAAATATGCACACATATGCAGGCATGCATGTATGCATATGTGTGTAGGTATGTGTGCCTGTGTGTGTGCATTGTTTTTTGCATGTGTGTGTGTGTCTGTGTGTGTGTGTGCACATTGTGTATGTTTTGTATATATGTGTGTGTGTGGAGAGGAAGGGGAGGGTCACTGACAAAATTCCTGGGTCTTAGGAGAGAGGCTCTGCGAGGGAGGTCTCCTCGTGGATGGAAGGAGAAGCAGGTCTTGCTCTGTGGAGACCCCCTGACTGCTCACAAGGTCTGCGCAGGCACTGCAGGCCACTCAGCAGCAGGGATGGCCCACGCGGGGGAGGCGGAGCAGCAAAGGGTCAGACTGTGAGCTGGCAGACGTGCTCGGTTAAAAAGTGACTCGGGCCACCCTTTGTCCTTGCAAGCTCTGCCTTCCTCCTGCCCCAGGTGCTATCGACTGGAGTGTGGATTAATTATTGATGTTCAAAGTGAGTTAACTACTTCCTTAGAGAGAAATTCCATTTAATAAGTGTAGAAGGAATGAAAGGAAACCACCACCACCAGAGTACTGTGGCACTGACGGCTGCAGGCAGGAGCTGCTGGTGGGCACTGAACTTGGCAGGCAGACGCTGAAGCAGAAATGGGCTATCTGCAGTCCCGGAGCACCTCCCCTAAAATACTGAGTGATTCGAAAGGGGACAGTAGTAGGACTACAGTGGGGAATCCGGGCCGGAACTGCCTTAGTTGGGCGATGAAGGTTAACGTCTCGGTGAAAAGACATGTGACATCAAGTGACATCACTTCCCTCTGATAGGACACACCTTGAAGAGCACCTCACTCCTGTGGTCTTGACATGGAATTGCTGAAAACGCATGACTCCAGCCCGATCATAAGACTATCAGACAGGCGCAAATGGAGGACATCGCAGAGTGAAGGACCAGCCCCCTTCAGAAGCACTGGGAAGGCAAGGGAGGGGTTGAGGGGCAACATAGACTGCAGGAGATTAAGGAGTCCTGACCACCGAATGCAACCTGGGGTCCTGGATGGGATCCTGGAACAGGAAAGGGCCACTGGTCAGATGCAGATGTAGCCTGCGGTCCACTTGGTCGGACGGTGCCAGGGCTTCCCCTTCAGCTTGGGTAAATGCGTAGTGAGGGCAGGAGAGGCTGGGAGAAGGGCTTCCTGGACTGTCCCACTGTCTCCAGCTGCTTGGCACACCTCAAAAGGAAATGTTTGTAAAAAGTGAGCTCTCTATTAGAAATAGGCCCATGGTGTGGGTGCGAATCACCAATTGTGCTCGGTAGTCCCTGCTTGGGTTTCTCCCCCAGGTGCCACCTGGGACAAACCCAATGGTTAATGGAGTGCATGGTCATGATAGTACACTTTCTGCATGATCATCTGGGGAAGCACACAGGGTCTGCATGAACCTCTGTGGTTCTGAGCCAAGGATGGTGTTTGAAGTCTGACAACCAACAGTGCCTCTAACAGCGGGCCTCTCCCAGAAAGCTCAGCCCTGGGGTCACCACGGGTGGGCTTGCACGAGGCAGGAACGTCTCACCCATATGGACACCCTGGCGGTGACAAGGCATCTGGAATGTAAGCTGGCTGCCTTGTCATCTCGGCGCATTTTAACCCTACCACAGGCTGGGTGGCTGGACCAGACGTTGAGCCCTCAGTTCCTGAAGCCCTGGATCAAGGCACTGACAGGCTTGGCTCCTGGTGAGGTCCCTCAGCCTGGTTTGCAAATGGCCGCCTTCTTGACGGCTCTTCACATGGAGGAGAGAGGCGGCTGCAGCCTCCCAGAAGGACACCAATCCCAGCAGGGGCACCAGCCTCATGACCTCACTGAACTCTGATCACCCCAAGGGCCCGTCTCCAAATACCGCTACGTGGGGGATAGGGTTTCAACATGTGACTTGGGAGCACACAGTCTCTGGGGGGACACAACTCAGCACTGGCCCAAAAGGACCCCCTCAGCCTGCTCCACCATTCTTCTCAAGAAGCTGCCTTTGAGCCCCCCATTCCTGCCATCACCCTGTTGGCTCTGCCCCCAGGTCCCATCTGACCCATCCCATCCCCTTCTCTCCCCCATCTGCCTCTGACCCCCACTGTCCACTCTCTACGCCACAGCTGAACCTTCCTACCCTTTCAGCAGACTAGGCCTCTTCTCACCTAGAACCTGCCAACACGCCCCGGCCCACTCGTCATCGGGTCCCACCGCCTCCTCCTCCTCGTGGCCATCCCCCCGCCGTCTGTGGGGCCATGCAGGTCCCTGTTCAGATCCCTCTGCTCAGCCCTAGACTGCCTGGCACAGCGTGGTTCCCCTCAGAGGCGCCTCCCTGGCTGCCTGGGTCAAAGAGCCACTCTAAACTCAGGCCCGTTCCCTCATCATCCTCATTCCTCCTGGTGTTTACCTGGCCTGAAACCAGCCTGTATTTATTTATCCACTTGCTCTTCTAGAATATCTGCTCCACCACAGGACAGGCTCCGTGGGCCTGTCTGTTTCCTGTTTTCACCTCCTGAGTCTAGGACAGGGCCTGGCACACAGTAGGTGCTCAGTAAACACCAGTTGAATTAATTAGTGCATTGGCTGTTTCCTTTCTTTAATTCTAGCCCTCCTGAGGGGCAGTGCAGGGGTTTGCAGGGACCAGTCCCCAGAGGTTTTCTGGGGTGGGAAGATTTACTAGGAATGCATAGACCCTGTGGCTAATCTAGAGGAGGAACCTCATGCACCTCACACGGGGGCACCTATAGGAAGGACAGCAGCGACACCCTTTCCATCTGCTAATGCACAGCCCAGTGTGGGTGCGGAGACCCAGCCCCATCACTCATGGGGAGCTGGCATGGGAAGCCATTAACCGACTTTGGACCTGGCATGGCCATGGTCCTGGGCAGTTTGAGGACTAAGACACTGATGAGACAGCTGATGCAAAAGAGGCCAGCGGGCTGAGGGCAGGGGCCCACCTGAGGACAGGACTAGATACTTCTCTGGCTTTAGCTTTCCTGGCATGTATAGGCATCTACGGCATGGAAG